CAGACTCGCTTTCTAGAGCTATGTACTGAACTAGGACTAGTGGAGTACATGCAACGACCCACAAAGTGGAAGTCCAAAGGAGTCCCATCCATGCTCGATTACGTTATTATTAACGACCCGCTGCTAGTATACGATATAGAGATAAAGAATTCACCAGGAAAAAGTGACCATGCTACGATCATGTTCAAATTCTTAGTGTACATCATTAACAATCAGGTGAGGCGTCAGTTAATGACTCATGGCGCAAAATCCTGAAAAATCTACAACTGCAAATTCACGACCTAGTTCCTCTGCGCAAAATCAAACCCAAAAATGAGAAAAGAACTTGGCTAAGGAGCAAGACTAAGAAGCTGATCAGCTCAAAGCGATTATTACGGAAAGAACACCAATTGACTCAAACGCTTGAAGACTTCGAGTCTTACGAGACGCTCAGAAACCGCTGCACCACGCTCCAGCGTGCGGACAGAAGGCTCTACCAGCTCCAGATATGCGAGAAAGCAAAGGAAAATCCTAAATTACTCTGTCAACACTAGGTTAGTTGCTACTGGCATTAACAAAATAAAAAAGGTAAATACTGGAAGTTCCTCTAACGTGGAAGCCGCGGAAGCCTTAACGATGCACTTCGAAACTGTATTCAAAAGTGACCCACTATACGCGGAACAACGTCCAACCGACTCTGTTTCTCTTATTTCAACCGAAGTACTCTCCATCATACATTTTTGACAGAGCCACCGTCGAGGGCAGATTGCGTAACCTTCGCCCGAACATATCTTCGGGTCCGGATAGCATACTGGCGGTATTTATCAAAAACTGTTCTAAGTGCCCCCCTCACACAAATGTTCACGGCATCCATGAACACAGGAAAACTCCCATGTGATTGGAAAACTAGCATTGTAACTCCGATATACAAATCGGGATCCCGGACAAACCCCGAAAACTATCGTCCGGTGGCCGTTTTTTCCATACTTTCAAAAGTAATGGAAAGCATAATAAGAATAAGAGAATTTCTTAGACTCTCGAACCTCCTCAATCCACAGCCTGCACGGATTCCGCAAAAGCCGGTCATGCTTAACAAATCTCCTAGCGGCGACAGACGATTGGACTAAAGAAACAGAAATGGGGAATAACGTAAACGTTATATTCCTAAACTTTTCCAAGGCGTTAGACAGGCTACCGCATCAAAAATTATGCGACAAACTCATTGATTGTGGCATAACGGGAATGTTGCTAAGCTGGCTGAAAGACTACTTAAGTGATCGCATCCATCAGATGGGGGTCAACGGGCGCTTCAAGCCACCATTTAGTCCTTAGTGGAGTACCACAAGGATCTATTTATATACATATATATACTAGGTCCCTTGCTCTTCATACTCTTTATCAACGACTTGGCGGGACTTTTAACAACCAAGTGTCTCCTGTATGCAGATGACGTCAAGATCTGGCACAGTATCATAAAAGAGGAGGACAGTAATTCTCCATTGCAACCTAGATGCGATCGGACGATGGGGAATCAAAAATGGTCTCCTCTTGAACCAGTCAAAATGTCATGCAGTACACTTCAGGGGAGAAACCGACAGCAGATACTACCTTAACTCGGTGCTACTGATGGTAGTTAAACAGGAAACGGATCTACGGTCGGCTCTGTTAAATCGTCCAAACTTCTCACAAAACTGCGCTAACCTAGTGAAACGAGACAGCCTAATGCCGAGCCTAATGAACCGGAACCTGGAAAGACTGGAGTCCGAGTGCTTCAGAATGTTATACTGAATCTACGTAAGACCCCACCTTGAATATAATATTCAATCGTGCCCCCAACCTTATTAGGAGATATTTAAGCACTGGAAGCGGTTCAGAGAAGAGCCACCAAGCGAGTCATCGGACTGTCGTAACCGAGCTACGAAGATAGACTTAAGCGACTCAACCTCTACTCTTTTTTACAGAAGGCTGAGAGGGGATTTATTATTCATACACAAAATAGTATCAACGCAGGGTCACCCGAACAGCAAACTATTAGCATTATCACCTCACCGTCAACTGCGAGGATACTCTAAGACCATCTTGCACCAGCAGAGTAGTACTAACAGGAGATGGTTACATTTCTGCGTCCGGGCCACATCCGATTGGAACTCATTACCGGGGGTGGTGGTCTCCGCGCCTACGACAGCGTGTTTCGGGCAGAGACTAGATAAATTCGCTGTGGGCCTCTTCTCGGCAGTGGACAGCAACCTTGAGTACCCGCGAAGTAACGTTAGGTGGACCTCTGGACTGTCCACCTAGTACACCTCGTAAGGCGTGCAAATCGGTCCGCTAACTGACTACATGTAACTAATCTGCAACATCGTCTAAAAGTAACCTACCAACCTCGTTTGCTTACAATTTCAAATCATAAGAATAAACGAATCCAAAACAGAAAATTTCGGAACATCGTACTTTACCTTATAAAACAAGAAACAGGCAAAATTACAAGCCAACAAACTTTCTCCACCGGCAAACTGGACACTGGACAATAAATATTGGAGACATACGTAGCCCGTAGACGCAAGCATCTGGACCAAGATAATGGCCCGAGCCGCAAGTCCTTTGAACTGTCCTGTCCTGCCCTGTTCTGCTCTTTCCATATCAGTTGCGGAAGTAGTAACGGAACGGGAAAGTTGCCCCAAGTTTGCACTGAGGGACCCAAAATTCAGCTCAGGTCAGGTGAGATTGCACAGAACGAATAGTGGCCACAAGCCAATCAAGCGTCCAGAATTCCTTCGGTGGTGTGCTCACGAGTGTGCGACCACCTCTGCGATTGATCGATTTCTCTTTCTATCTGCGAAAAGAGAGAAAGAGAGACTTTACTTCTCGCCGTGTCGGCGAGAGACTTTTATTGTGAAAGGATTTGCAGTTGTAGAACCACACGTAGGCAAACGATACGCGCACGGTTAAAAGAACCTGAACTGAAATTAGCATCAGCCGCAAGTCCTGTGACTTGCCCTACCTTGAACGCTTGATTTGTTTGAATGCATAAATGACATTATATAAGCCAATTGAACTTGTCGGTGTCACGTTCAACGACGTCAAGATGAACGGTGATGTTGATTGTACTACGGACGAGTCGATCGGCTTCTTGCCAGCTAGGAAGCATGCACCGGAGGAGAACAAATCAAACGCAGATGAGATAGGATCGCTTCTAACTCGAGACGATCTCATCAAACTTGAGTCTCAAGAGCCATGTTGGAGACGAGCACGCTGGGCATTATTGATTATGTTCTGGATTGTTTGGATCGGTCTTCTTGCAGCAGCAGTCATAATCATTATTTTCACTCCTAAATGCCCACCGAGGCCTAATCTGAACTTCTGGCAGTCCAAAATTGGATATTGGGTCGATCCTTTTGCGTTCAAAGATTCTGGCAACGACTTGATAGGGGACTTTCGAGGATTAACCAGTTCAATGACTTATTTGAAGGATACGGTTGGCGCTGGTTATGTGATCATCGGATCTTTTCTTTCTGGTTACTATACAAATACTGATAATGAATTGGGTCTCATTAACAACTTCACCGAAGTAGATCCTGCCCTCGGTAGCATGGAAGATTTTCGGTTTATGATCAAGGCGTTCCACAGAGGCGGTATGGAAGTCGTGGTCACCCTGGATTTCAATTCAATCTCTCTATCACATCCTTGGGCTAAAGAGACCAGCTTGCTGAAACCAGCGGCTCCTGGACAAATGGTTTGTTCAAATTGCCGGTATAATTCCCATCTAGTTCTCTAGAGACGGTAGTGATGCTTCTGTGCAAATAGGAGGGAAAAGATTTTATTCTGTCGGCGGATCAAAAAGAGTCGATCTTAATTTGCAATCGGAAGAAGTCATAAAACGCCTAACCGTAAGTCGTTTTGCAGCGTTGACCTCCAGTGTGATTAGGATGTTGTAAAGTTCTGGTTAACGGAAGGTGTCGATGGGGTTCTTTTGTCGGATGCTGCACTCTTTGTTGAGGAGAACAATTCGGATTCAGGTCCCTCATCGGCAACCCCCGAGGTAAGTGAAAATTGTAGCGCATTTCTGCAGAAGCCAAATAAATGGTTCGCCAAATATCCTTCAAATCAGTTGTTTACTAATGGGAGTGTTGAGTTCGTCAAGTCTGTGCGTAAGACCCTCGATGAAGCTTCTCGACGTACTGCCAGAAAATAGTAAGTCAATTACAAAATACTTACTGTCAGCTTGCTTGCCGTTGATCCCGGTGACTGTGGATACGGGTTAGGAAACGGACCAGACGCTACTTTGAAGTTTTTGGGTACCGATGAAGATCCCGCCGCTCATTTGATCATAAGCCGACAGTTCGTGACTGACCGGGGATGGTGAGTCAAGTAATTGCGATTTTGACTTTGTTTAAGGAAAGCGAAACCTCAAGAACCATCTTTGACGAAAATAAGTATTGAATCTTACGATTTAACCTACGAAAATTCCAAACCAAGTCTTGGTCTTGCAACTAGCACGCCAAGTAATCAACGACATGATAACATTTTGGCCTTGGCCTCCATATTTCTACTACCTGGTAGGTTGCATGTTTTTGTCCTTTTATGTGCATGAAAATATTGCTGATTTGTTTTCACTTTTTGACAAGAAGTACGGTTATGAAACTACCAAAATTGCTTTATGATGTGGTTTTTTCTCCTGTTTGTTATCTTCATTTTCCGTTTTGTGGATTATTTTTAATCATAAGTGTTTGTTTGTTAAATCATGCCAACAGATCACTCCTAGTTGAC